TGGGGAATTCCCCTGGTGAATTCTGAGAGTTGAAGTCCACACATCTTAAAGTTGCCAAGTTTGAAAAACACTGGTCCAGACTTAGATGGTTGGGAGCTCACAAACGAATCAGAGAGATGTTTTGTTATTCTTTAATTGCCTTATAATGCCTAATAATAGTCCTAGCACAAGTTTGATAAAGATTCAGTGGAGACTAGACTAGCCCAGGACTCTTATATAGTCTTATTACCGTGTTGGGATTGATCCCAAACTTCCCCTCTCCATCTCCCAAACTATACTGGATTTGAGCAAAGCGTCCAGAATCAGCATCTGTGGCTCGAACCCTCAAAATAATGGTCCCTAGGGGGACATCCTCAAAGACAGGCTTCTGTAAAAAAGAGAAGGAAATGCTAGTCAGAAATGGTTACAGTTCATATTATTATAAAGTTGCATCATACCATTTTGTACACTCAGTTACTATGTGAGTTCAACAGCTTCCTTAAGTGATCAGGCTACAGCAGAGAGAGAAAACAGCAGTAGGATCATCATTCTGAGAAGCCACCTTGCTCAGGGTTTGTTTCACCTCTAATAATCATCTAGCAACCTTTACCAAAGGTTTGTTTTGGGTTCTCTTTTCCCAGCTACTTGGAATAAGAAGTCCAAAAATTTCCATCTGCACTACAGCTGGTCATTATAACATTTCTGGACTGTTTATTTGCCTTCTCGAGTTCCCTCTTTTCTACGTTATTTTAGACTAGGGTTTCTCAACCTCAGCAACTTTAAGAGGGGTGGACTTTAACTCCCAGAATTCCCCAGCCAGCATGGGTTTTATTTGTTGAAAACATTTAAAGAACAGAATAAATAGCTACATAAAAGGAAAAAGAGGTGGACAAGCACAATGGATGAAGATTAAAATATCAGTAAATAAGCAAAGGCCAAGTGTCAAAAAATTTAAAACTCATTATTGCATTCCTTAATTAAATGTATAGAACTAGATTCATTATATCTTCTTAAGAAATAAGTAAAATCTCTAAAAAACTAAACATTAATATTGATATTGAAATCACCACTGGGAAACTGAACTTGGGGAATACACAAATATGGCAAATTAACAGTATACATCCAGAACAAAAAATTGACTAAATTTAAGCAAGAATGGCTTCCCTACATATCACATGTCACACAACATGGCAAACTCAGGTACACAGAGTATGTTTTTAAAGGGGGAAATAATTGATGTGAAGACAATAATTAGAAGCAATTTCAATAGTTTGATGAAATCACCAGTTGGGTACAATCGGAGGGAATTTAGAACTTAATATTGTTTTCACCTATTTTTTCTCCTTTTTAGTATTATTTTATTTTTATGATTTTTATGATTTCATTTTTCCTCTTTCCTCTTTCTCTTCCTTTTCTTTCCTTTTGATTATGTGCATTTATTTTTGGAACAATGACAAATAGTAGTGATAGGGTCTGCCTCTTTTTAATGATTTGGAAGCCATTCTATGAACCTTCCTAGCTGAAAAACAGTGATAGGTAAATGAATAATATGACATAATATATTGTCTTAACTGATGTTATTACAAGGACATGATAAACTCAGTCTATAGTTCTCACAACCAACAAGCTAATCTGCTAATTACTAAGTGAAATTGCTTTTAAAAAGATGAAACAAACTTGTGAAGATAACTCCATGTACAATCGATGTATTGTCGAAGGCTTTCAGTTCTTGTACCTTTTTTAAAAAATTTTAAATTAAAATTTAATTATTAAAATTAAAATTATTTAATAATTTTAATAAAAATAATATTTTTATTAAAAATAAAAAATAAATAAATAAAAATTAAAAAATAATTAAAATTAAAATTAAATTAAATTTAAGAATTTTTAAAATTCTTACAACAATTTCACCCACCCTGCAACATATAAGTGCAATGTGATAGAACTATGATAGAATTTTAGCCACTGTATTACTTATTTCTGATATACAGCAGACATTCTACTGAGTAGATAGAATACTCTCCCCTTCCCCTGCCAAAAAACCTAGTGTGATCCTGATTATGCAATCCTACATTTCACCTATAGGGTTGCAAAAAAAAAGGATTTCAAACAGGAAAAATAACTGAGCAGAACACCATGTCCCTTTGCCCAATCTGTCTCCTCCTCTCATTTTCTCATAAATATTTCTTGCTTTAATTCACCTGGTAAGATGGCTGGCTAAATGTGGGATTGTTGTCATTGATATCCACAATTTCTAGGTACACTGGTATTTCAGCTGATCTCCGTGGAGTCCCATTGTCTGAGGCCCGCACAGTAAAATTCAGCCAATGGACCTCTTCATAGTCAACTGTTCGGTTTGAAATTACCTTTCCTAAGAGTGAACAGGCAGACATTAAGATTGTTACTGTCCATAACCCTTCTACAATATATGTCCTGTTCCCTCATCCTCTTTCTACAAAACACTATAAAAGCATACAAGGACATTTTACATACTCAGGTTCTACCACTAGAATACCAAATCATGATACTGTATTCTGTTGTGGCTCTTAGAATTAATTTAAAAATAACTATTCAGGACTATTTGAAATAAGCAATTCAAAAGATTCTGCTGATTATTTAATGCCAGAAATGGAGTCTGTGTCTGGGACCAGCTGGAGATCCTGAATCATTAAGCTTCACTTGGTTCTAGGTAACTAACATCTTTGATAAGCAGTCCTACATCACAAAGCCTATGCAAAGACTATGTTCTCACAAAAACAAAAATAAGAACCCAAATCTAATTATTGTCTAGGTTCCACAAGTTGAAATCTAGGTTGTAACTAAAAAAGAAGACAATAAATGATGTAGGATCCTTGATTCAGTTTGGGAGAGGAGATATCTTTGCTTTCTCATTTTTAAATAACATCAAAAGACCTAAGTTGGCCTAAGTACTCAGCTTTGAAAATTTGACTCCACAAGAATGCATTTTATGAGAGTGGAAAGGTGGCATGGCTGGATAAGAACAAAAGACAGAATTTAAATAGGTTCAAGATCCTCCATCACTCAGCATTACTTTCATGATGAACAAGATTTCCTTGACTTCTGGTGATTTCATATATCCTACAGTTTTCTTGGCAAAAATATGGAAGCGGTTTGTCATTTTTTTCATGATTCTTTAAAAAAGTTCCCTCTCTAGTCCATAGCCCTGGGGTTCCTAAATGCCTCCCCCACCCCCATCCAGGCCTGACCCCAATTAACGTCCAAGCCCAGAAGTAATCCAGGTTCTGCCATCTGCCAATATACTTCTTAATACTTTGCAAATGGATGATGATTCTGACTATACACGTTAAAAAAGTCAACATCTGCACTATCAGAAACCAATAGCAAATAAATCAGTGCATATGTTTTTAAACTAGCCCCAAAGCGAGCTAATTTCAAATTTCCATATGAAGAATAGTCTTCCTTCTCTTAAAAAATATCCTGGTCAGAACAATGATTCTTAGATTTTACCTGCTGAGAAGTCTTCAAGCTGGACGTATCCCTCATGTGAGAGGTTGAGTAACTGATAGGTGATCTGCCCATTAGCACCTTTGTCTGGATCTACAGCTGACAAGGATATTAAGGTAGTCCCTGGAGTGGCTCCTTCTAGTATCCTCTCTGTGAAAAATTTTGCCCCAAAAGGGCGGAACCAAGGAGCATTATCATTGACATCCAAAACATTTACTGTCAGTTTGGCTGCAAGAGAGATGAAAGTACAAGACAAAAAATATTCAAAACCAGTTTGCTGTCTCTCTTTTGACAATCTTAGCATCACTACTAATCTAATCTGAAGTGCAAACTCTCTCACCATTTGGCACACTAACTGAGCGGTCAAGCACATCACTGGCATTATCATAGACAGAGATTGTGACATCGTAAGAGGCTACCAGTTCCCTGTTTAGAGTAGACTTCACTTTCACAGCTCCTAAGAAGTACAAAATGAAGAGAAAAAACTTCTAAGTTCAATAATACACAACATTATGGAGAATTGGAACAGAGTACTATGCTGAAAAGTATTTTGTTCTTCCTGATCTCTTTTTCCTAATGGAATTACTAGCAAGCCATTTACAAAATACATTTCATTCTACCCATATCCATCCTTACTGTGTCCTACTTAACTTTTTAAAACCATACCTTTGTATTCCACAAACCTTTTATGAGCAGTATTTATAAATAAGTATTTATAAATAAAAGCATACCTGAGAGAAAGGGCATCTGTGGGAAAGATGACTGATTCTAAGCTAAATTGATTCCTAATAGATATGCATATTAAAACAGTTGTCCTTCAGAGCCAGTATGAGTCTGACCACCAGATAGAAGGGACAGACAATAAGGAAGTTGTCTCAACATTATCTCCTGCTTGTGCATTTCTCAAGGGCCTTTCTCTCATCAAATGTCTGAAACAGCAAGTCAGTTCTTGTACGATTCCAGTGATTTTGGATGGAATATGCTTTTCTCTCTGTACAGAAATGATATTAAAGTAGGCTTCTTCAGAACAGGAGTTGCAAATGAACTCCCATGATCAGCTAAGATGGTGATGAATTCTGTAAGTTCGCTTTAGCATACCTTTTAAGGCCTTGTGATTAATAATCTATCTTTATGAACGTTGTGTACTTGTTTATTTATTGCTAGAACTTACATTCTGCTCCGTTTATGGAGCGTTTCAGTGGCTTGTATATATTCTTTTCTTAAATCACTGCAAACTTAACAAGAACAGTCGCATTATATTTACCCTCCGTGAACAGTTTCACAAAATCTCTGCTCAGCCATGCAGTTCAGCAAGTGACCTTGAGAAATTATTATTTCTCGGAGTAGCCCACTTAGCAAAGTTGTGATTAATAATATTCCTATATAGCACCCTCATCGCTTTGGGGAAAATATGAATTTTTTAAAAGTCATACATGAACTGTAAGCAAATAACCAGGAGTAAATTTGGAGGATCACCAAATCACGTCATTGGATCTAGAACAGGGTTCCTCAACCTCAGCAGCTTTAAGAGGGGTGGACTTCAACTCCCAGGCTGGCTGGGGAATTCTGGGAGTTGAAGTCCACCCCTCTTAAAGTTGCTGAGGTTGAGGAACCCTGATCTAGAAAGCTTTGCTACCCTCCCCTGCAAACCAAAGCCCAAGATAAAAGATCACTTACCCTAAAAATGGTTGCCCCTCCCATGCCCTACCTGCTAGGTGCTTCTGAGGGGCGGTCACCATTCAGTCTGTGAAGGCTATGGCACAAGGTATAGATCGCCAGCCAGACACAAACCAGCACTAAACCAGGGATGATGAGGATGAGGATGATGAGAATGAACAGAGTGCTGACTGAGATGTAAAGGTAACACTTAGCACAGACATAGAAAGACAGAAATCAAACCTGCAGGTCTGAAAGCCATAAGGAAAGCAAAAAGATAGTTAGTTGGAGCAAGTATCCACCAGAAGTGTATAGACAAACACTGAGGCCTCTTCCAGACAGTTACAATCTTTGATCAAACTGAGCCTCTGACTGATCAGCAGAGGTGCTTGTACTCTACTCTGCTTCAGGGTCTTCCTGATGCAGGTGTGATATTTTTGACAAGAAGGGAACTCCTACTTTAAAGGAGTATGTTTTACTGCAGAAGCAGCAGCAGCAGCAGCAGCAGCAGCAGAGTCTGCAGCAATGTCTTGCACGGGAGTTGCAGAGCTACGGGAAGAGAAGTCTGCCTTGCCTTGCCTCCCAGTTCTTTGTTTTCCTCTGGGGCAGTGAGATGGTAGGACTGCATTAAAGAGTCAAGTGCAGAATTGTTATGGCAAGCATATCAGAACTTCTCCTCTCCTCTCCTCTCCTCTCCTCTCCCCATGGTAGGAAGGGAGGTAGAAATTTGTGTTCTGGCCCAAAATTGAGGAGGTAGGATGAGGTACTACATGCTGGCTGGCTGATGACAGCAAAGAAACTTGTTTTCATGTGTAACTGAGGGGTGGTCTGAAGAGCTGATGGCCAATCCATTTTTGTCCTTGTCCTGTTTGGCCATTGGCTGGTTCTCTGTGATCATTTTAGTCTCAAAGAAGGAAATATGCCAATTCCTGTGTAGTCCTATGAATGTTAAACAGTCAAAAGAGTTAGTTCAAGCCCTACTACATTTAAATTGTACAGTCGGAGGATTTGGACAATAGAAACACTGGTGTCTGGAAGTGCCCAAAGAAAGCAAGGGAGAATAAGAAAGAAGAAAGAGAGAATATGAAAAGGAAAGAGAAAGAAGTAGAAGATATGGGAGAACATCTTCCTTGCCATTTGTTGCACTGATAATACTCCCATTTTCCAAGGGAAACTGATCTTTAAACGCAAATGGCTGATTTTTTCAGCCCCAATATATTAAAATCTGAGAATGCACATTTGATATAAGGCTTACTATAATTGCTAATTTGGGCCAATAATATTATTTTCAGCTTTAATGTTGTACAAAGCACTAGTTTTTCTTGCCTTCTGCTGTTTTTGACCCTATTCATTAGAACCTGTATATAGTGTGATCTGCTGTATTTACTTCCAACTCTTGTACCTGTTCGAAAGTCCACTGAAAAAACTCCTTGCTGGTCTGGCACAAGAGCATCAGTATCATCTTTGGCCAGGATTTCAATGATGTAGTATTCCAGCCGGGGATTGAGATCTTTGTCCATTGCTGTCACATCAGCTATAACTGTGCCTATCGTAGCTGATTCGGGGACACTGATGGTCTGGATGGGATTGAGAAACTCTGGCTGAGAATCATTGATGTCATCAATCTGGACGCTCACAGTGGCAGTGCCAGAGAGAGGTGGTGTGCCTTGATCTGTAGCAGCCACTGTCAAGCGGTAGCTGTCCTTTTCTTCTCGGTCTATAGTTATGTTGGCCACGCTGATGACCCCAGTAGTAGCATGGATCAAGAACTTATCTTGAGCTCCGCTTTCTATCCGGTAACTCAGCTGCTGATTGGGGCCACTATCCATGTCAGTTGCAATTACCTGAAGCACAGAAAAACCTAGGGGGAAACCCACACTATATCATTAGAGAGGATATTTCAGACACTTGGGACTTCAGAAGGAACAAGTAAACATTCTGAATCAGTCTACCTGACCATCATCTCCAGTATTCTGTTTCTGTGAGTAACGTATCCAGTATAATGCAAAGGAAGTTGTAAAATTCATTAGCCAAGATGTGCACCGTCATGATGCTGCAGTAACTTGTTTTTCTTTTCCACAATTTATTTATAAAAGCTATGTGGAAAACATAAACTCAAAGAAATGCAAGTCCCACTAGATAATTGCGCATTGCACAAAGGGTCATATGTGGTTTTATGGAGAAATTAAAAAGGCTCTATGCATGGTTTATACCAGTGTTTCTCAACCTCAGCAACTGTAAGATGTGTGGACTTCAACTCCCAGAATTCCCCAGCCAGCATGCTTCTGGGAATTCTGGGAGTTGTAGTCCACACATCTTAAAAGTTGTGAAATACTGGTCCATACAATATCAAGATGCTTGCATTCAAAAGGAATAGTATTTGATACTTTTTAAAAATATACAGTGGGGCAAAAAAGTATTTAGTCAGCCACCAATTGTGCAAGTTCTCCCACTTAAAAGTGACCAAATACTTATTTTCCACCATGATTTGAAAATAAATTCTTTAAAAATCAGACAATGTGATTTTCTGGATTTTTTTCCCCATTTTGTCTCTCATAGTTGAGAGGTGACCAAATACTTATTTTCCACCATGATTTGAAAATAAATTCTTTAAAAATCAGACAATGTGATTTTCTGGATTTTTTTCCCCATTTTGTCTCTCATAGTTGAGAGGTGACCAAATACTTATTTTCCACCATGATTTGAAAATAAATTCTTTAAAAATCAGACAATGTGATTTTCTGGATTTTTTTCCCCATTTTGTCTCTCATAGTTGAGAGGTGACCAAATACTTATTTTCCACCATGATTTGAAAATAAATTCTTTAAAAATCAGACAATGTGATTTTCTGGATTTTTTTCCCCATTTTGTCTCTCATAGTTGAGAGGTGACCAAATACTTATTTTCCACCATGATTTGAAAATAAATTCTTTAAAAATCAGACAATGTGATTTTCTGGATTTTTTTCCCCATTTTGTCTCTCATAGTTGAGAGGTGACCAAATACTTATTTTCCACCATGATTTGAAAATAAATTCTTTAAAAATCAGACAATGTGATTTTCTGGATTTTTTTCCCCATTTTGTCTCTCATATTTGAGGTATACCTATGATGAAAATTACGGGCTTCTCTCATCTTTTTAAGTGGGAGAACTTGCACAATTGGTGGCTGACTAAATACTTTTTTGCCCCACTGTAGATAGGCAAAACACCTAAGCACATACACATAATTAAATCATTATCTTTTTCTAATTGGCCAGCCAATTGGAAAGTACAGAGTTGTTGTTTTTTTTAAACAGAGTTTACCAAACAAAAAACTTTCCAAGGTCACGTGTCCTCCATGCTTCTCTTGGTGCACTGATTCTGGTTGGCTTAAACTACATTTTCCCATTCAAAAAGGGAAAGTTGTGGTTTAAATTTTGTGGATTAATGTCCTGAATAAATCAATGGACAATAATCTTCAATCCCTTATTCTGAGCATAAAGCAGATCTCTAGTTAAAAGGAGGAAGGGATACAGGCAGTTCCTGTGCTCATTCCCAGGAACTGAATTATGATTTAGCAGAGGAATGTTGAATTCTCACAGTTTAGCAAATTAGGAAGATATACATCCAGACAATTTTTAATATCGAAGTTGGAAAATGAATCAGTCGATTTTATTTTTTCAAATAAAACCTCTGTTAAATGGAAGTGAGCTTTGCCTCTGTCATCTGCTTGAAGAATGCAGTTGTATTTATCAATGTGGTGAGAAATAAATATGATCTGTTTTGCATATTAACAGAATTCACAGTATAGGTTATTGTAAAAAAAAAATCCCTTATTTTCCCAGACAATTTGAAATACCCCACCCTCTTCATATTTCCAGTGATTTTGTTTCCCACTTATTTTAAATTCCTAATACTTAACTTCAAGTCAGTTCCAAATGCTATTTTCCATTTTGCCTTCATTCTAACCTGCAGGGCTGTTTTCTAGTATCCGAACAGACAAGACTGCTGGGTGAAAAGTTGGCCTGTTGTCATTATCATCCAGAATGGTCACCGTGAGGTTAGCAGTACTGTTCAATTTGCCAATGTCAGTTGCAACAACCAGAAACTCCAAGACAGGATTCAAGAAAGCCTCTCTGTCTATCACGTGCCCTGGCTTCACCGAAATGACACCTATAAGTTAGTAGTAAGACCAAGATATGAACTTGACAGGGAAAAATGCAGTCCAAGGATTCGCCGGATCTGTCAAGCATGCTCCACAGCCTTTTTTGTGTTATCAAAACAGAAATAGTATACACTGATTTTGGAAAGTGGCAAAGGGATAGAGATCTGAGATTTAATTTATCACCTGCATGCAATAAGAGACCTTGTAGGAAGGAGGCCTCTATTCCTCTTTTTTTCTTTGCAATTTTCACAAATAAAAAAGTCAGCGTTGCAAAGTATTTGCATAAGTATTTATGTTTTATATAAATTACATTTGCAAAAAGCTCCCCCTTGTTATGTTGAGTTCAATAACAAAAGTAGGTAGTATAGGAGGCTCTTTAGTTTCTTTAGGCATTGGGCTGACAAATGGGGGGATTTATAGAAATCTTTTTAATGGTTTGTTGCCAAATAAACAGATCAGCAGACTTCACCAGGTGAATATAGTGCTAGGTAACATCATTTCATATTACTAATGGGATAGGGCATAGTTTTCTCCAGAAATGATTTCCTTTATTAACCTTTCACGGTCTCACTGGGGATTATGAGAGTTCAACTCCAACACATCAGAAAGAAAACAGGTTGGAGAAGATTGTCTTATACATATAAAATTAATATCCCAAGACTAAGATTTTAGGTTAATCTGCTTCCTGATATGATAGCATGAGGTCTTCCAAACATGTGAACATTCTCACTCTGACTTGTAGCATAAAATAGTGAAAGTCAGCAAAAGACATAGCAAGGCTTTTGCTTTAGCTCCATCTAATGCAAAGTAGCTTACAGCAGTCTAAAATTGGATATGGATTCATTCATTCATTCATTCATTCATTCATTCATTCATTCATTCATTCATTCATTTATTGACATACTTATATAGCTGCCTATCTCACAAACATAACTCTGGGTGGCGTACAATTTTTTTAAAAAAAACCCTAAAATGAACAACATTAAAAACATTTCATAATTAAAAAACACCAATGTTATTAAAAGACTAGGAGAGAGCATATTCAGTGTTACAGGCAATGCAGCCATTTCACCAATTCACCATTTCCTTGGGATCCCCAAGCCTGTTGACACAGCCAAAGAATCTGATATAAGTCCTTGCTGTGAGCACAAAACTTCCAAATGTACTAAGGGTCAAAGTCTGTAAATTATACAAAAAGCCTACTATATTTACCAGAGACCATGTGCCTTTCTAGACAGGAGCACGATTGCAACATGAAAATGAACTCAACCCTCTGCTGATTAGTTTACACCATCACTGGGTGCTTCCCCTTGGGTCTAGACCCGGGGGATATTGTACTGCAGGTGCATAGTTTAAAGCAAATAGAGAAGGCCTATTTCCATTCAGCAAATCTTACTTTAGAAGCTGGAATGGATTATAACACCAACTTCAATGGTATAAATGGTCTTTGCTGGGGAGATACCTGGCTATTCCCACCTCCCAGAGTCCAATCTGGTGGGAAGATGTCAAGGCTACATCAAGGGGTCCGAAAGCATTATGGTGGAACAATGAGAGTCTTGCAGCTTTCTTTCTTTGGGATGAAAGGAAGAAATAAAAAGGGGATGTATGCTTTGGCACAAAATTGAAAAGGAAGATGTGCAGAGATGGGCTAAGAGAGTGATGGACAAAGCTCTCTTTACTCATCTCTTGGGCCAGAAAGGGCAAGTTTTGCTTGGCTAACAGTTCTGCGCCACTGCTGTAGTCTTACAAAGAAATCTCACAGGCCTATCATGCCCTGTTCATTTTAAATAATCAGAACAGTTTGGACAGGTCCTGATTTATTTAAATAAAGCAGTCAGAAAATGTGTCCAGTGGAAAAGCTGGGGATCTGGAAGTGCCTCATGCTAACCTAATGTAATACACAGAGGTTTATCTAGCAGATTTTATTAAAGGTATGAAGATATTTTTTTCAACTATTTCCATACTGCTCTCTCATAGGGTAGGAAAAAAAAAACCTATTGCCTCATCACCCTGAACAGGCAGACAGCTATCCGTTAAGAGTGTATGACTTTCTTACCTGTTCTGTTGTTGATGGTAAAGAGGTTCTTTTCTTTTCCAAGCAGTTGATATGTCAACACTGCATTGATATCCTTGTCATTGTCCAAAGCTAGGACTGGTCCATTAAGGACAGTGATGGGAGTTCCTGAATCAAACATGGAGATCTCAGAAAACAGGAGTAATGATGATCGATTGCCTCTTCTCCCTCCCTCTTCCCTTCCCCTGATGATCAACAATGAAGTATGAATGAATGAAACAGGATGAGATCCTATGAAACAATAAAATAGTGCCTGCTATAACCTTGGCAGACTGAATCAAGACGCCCTTGGGAGAAGCCTTAAGCCCTGCTAAAACAAAACACACATTCATCAGCCACATTAAAGTGAAAAAAAAAATCCAAAACATTTAGTGGGAATGTTACCTTCTAAGCAAGTTCTTCAGCTCGTGAGAGAGTATGTCAGTTAAGGACATAATGTGGCTTGTTGAAGCGTAAATACATTGGAAATTATTTAAAGTATTTAAAGCCACACATAATTTCATGCTAGGTGAAAAACTGTATTTATGTGCAATTACTTCATGGATGATTTCATATTCCAGAACTCCAAACAACGGTTTGGCCTGGGATGAGGAATAAGGCATCTGTTCATATATTTCCTTCTCTCAAGCATTTGGCTTAACAGAATAGTACCTGGTTTAATTACATCCCAACTGTTATGGCCAAACTGGTGGGATTGATCCTTTTAAATCAGATCACAGATTAAGGTCAACACTACGATTTGCAATCCTCATCTGGAAGTTTCTTCAAATACATGTTGCTATTTCAGACATACTAGTAAACTGCAAGTTGGTCAAATCAGGAACTATTTCATTAAACTGAGAATTTGAGGAAGCATACTTATTCCCAACATGTAACTCAAAGTATCAGAAGCATGAATGCAACTGATATCTCAATGGATCCAAGAAGCAAATACGAATGTCTAGTATTAGCACATGAGACCTTGTCATTTTCATTGATGCTATTATAATTCAAGTCAGTTAGAAAAGATCACAACTTCACTTTAAAAAATCCCCTATTGCCCACTGCATGGTTCCAAAAAAAGCTGCATTTTCTGAATGGGGAAGAGAAGCTTGAGTATTTTAGAAATCACCTAAAGCCAGGAACAGAAGCAGTAAAATAAATCTGGGGGTGTATTTGACATATTCATAGTTTCCCTTTCTATTAGCTGTTTCTTTCACTTTCAAAAGCATTTCTCCCTTAATATACTATACAGTAATACCGGAGGAATTTTTCTCCCACTTCATATACATCAGTGTTCCTCAACCTTGGGAACCTTAAGAGGTGTGGGCTTCAACTCCCAGAATTCTGGGAGTTGAAGTCCACACCTCTTAAAGTTCCTAAGGCTGAGGAACACTGATTTACATGCCCGCGTTTGGAACAGTTTAAATCTGTTTAATTTAATTAAATAATTAATTTAAATAATTTAAATAATTAATTTAAATAATTAATTTAAATAAATTAATTAGAGAGAGAGAGAGAGAGAGAGGAATCATTTTTAAAAACTGGGAAAGTGTCCTGTGCCTGAAAAATAAGAAGCAGCATTTTTTTTCATAACCATTTTATTTATTGTATTTGTCTTAGAATACTTTTTAACAGAAGAACAGATCCTTTCATCAGTCACAAGAAAGCATGAGCACTTAAAAGAGACTCTCTGCATGTCCTTAGATTTGGGCAGGGTGAAGGACACACCTACCTGGAGGAGAATTTTCTAGCACCTCAGCCTGGTAGGAACTCTGAGTGAAGAGAGGGTGATTATCATTTTCATCTGCTACTGTAATCACCAGTAAGTCAAAATCCTGAAGTTGTACAAAGAAAAAAAAGACAATGGTTTAACCCCCCCCCAAAAAAACTGGTTGTTGCCTTTAGCTTCTTCTCACAATGTTCACGAGAACTTTCAGAATTCATATTAGTTTTTCTGATTTGTTTTCATTTGTGGATATTTCCATCCTGCCCAGCCCCCAACGCTTAGGGTAAATAATACAAATTTCCATACATTACTAACTTAACCTTCCACTCCAGAAATCCATTCAACTAAATAATTGATTAAAAAAAAAAAAAAAAACCTTCTATAAAAAGTGTTTGATTTTCGAACTGCTGCTCTTTCTCCACAATAAAGTTGTTTTTGATCTATTTCCAAAACCAAAGTGGCATATGTAACGGCAGGGGTGTCTGCAGGGTGTCGGTTTTGGTGGTAGTTAAAAAGTTTAAAATAATGAAGCACACTGTGCAGGGATATTCATAGGGAGTGGTCAAGGTGGTGGCCCCAAAGGTGCAGTTGAAGTGCTACCTAGCACTTATGTGCAAAGCAACCCGCATAAAAACCAGGCAGAGCTTTGATTGCACTGTGATGACTGCCATCTTGACTTTGTGACCACACTCTCTGGATATCCCTGCACAACGGGCTTCATTATTTTGAATTTTTTAACTACCACCCAAAGAAACAGAGAATCAGGCCAGGCACTAGGCAGTGATGTGATTTCATCTATGTTTCTGATGGGGAAGATCATATCTGCTCTTTTTGACACAATAAGGGTTAGTAGTGGTTTGGGAAATTTGGTTTCAGAAGTACTGCCTCAGAAAATGCCTATTTTATTTTTTTATCGGCCTGTTTGTAACACTATAGAATATCTTCATCTGTTATCTCACATATCAGTAGCTGAAATCAAACCATTACAAGGCAGTTCTTTGTGGTTTTCTTCAAAAAACCTGTGGGGAACTGAAAGATTAATGGACGACCTATAGTGAAAAAGGAAGTTTGAGAACATGGTTAGAAACAGTTTAACCATGGATCTGCTAATAAAGGAAATTAAACTTTGGGCTGCACTCATGTGCTATAGCTCACTGATTTATCTTTTTGGGGAATATTACATCCAATGCTCTTGATAAATGCAACTCTGCTTCAGATTGGGAAAAGATATAGTCTGTAATTACCCTTCTTGCATTGCGTGTGTTTTCTGGATTGTCCTTCACTGTTATTGTCAGCCTATATTCTGACACCCGCTCTCTGTCCAATGGGCGATTTACATACACAATGCCAGTCTGGAGAAGAGAAAGAACAAAGAGAAACAGAGAGAGAGAAAAAAAAAATCAAATGACACCATTCTACTTCTTTTGGCCCGCAAAATGTATTTAATGGGTAAGCCCATTAAGAGTTAGAAGGGACTGATTCCTTAAATCAGAAACCACGTTCTTGAGGCAACCATTCAGGCTGTAAGAATTCATAGTAGCGAATCAAGTTCAGGTAACAGGGAATTTGCACTTTTCTGAAGCTCCTGAGGACAACACAACGTGTTCATGCAACTTAATAACAGTTATTAAATTAATACAGTACAGATCTTAGTTGTGTTTCCATTTAGACTGGATGAAGAATCTAGTACCCACTAGCTCAGAGCTTTACTTTAGTATAGCATACCACACTGAGTAAGTCAGTTACAGCTTCTCAGTGATTTGTGGCATAAAGCAAATTTAGTTACTGAACGTTGACAGTGGACAGGAAGAAAACCAGGGACATCTGACACTGAACAGCAGCTGCAAGTAAGTTCTTTGCACAACTGTTATGATATGAAACACAGGTAGTCCTCAGATTACGTCCATTCATTAGTGACCATTCAAAGCTACGATGGTGCTGAACTGGGGGACTTGGAGTTCTGGCTGTTGCAGCATCCCTGCAGTCACGTGATTGCAATTTCTGACATTCCCTGCTGGCTTCCTACAAGCAAAGTCAATGGGAAAGTCCGCAGTAACTCAGAAGTTGTGATCACTTGCGGTCCTCACTTAATGATAGCAACCAAGACTGCCAGAACTGCCATTGTTAAGTGGCATGGCTACATGACATTGTGCTTTTTGACTGTATCACTCAGCAATGACAATTCAGGTCCCAATGCTGTTGTAAGCCGAGGACTACCTGTAACAAAGTCTGCTCTCTTATAACATTGCTAGACAGAAACAGGAAACTCAAAATGGATCAGAATAACCTGACTTTGGTCCCAGGCCTGGGGTTAATGAATTATAGTATTTTGGGGGGCCCTGTTTTGTTTTGATTTGTACTGCTCTTAAGATCATTTTAGTCTGGGCTGTCTGTGTGGTTTTTTGTTTTATCTGTTTTTGTAGATTTTTTAGTTCTGTACAGCGCCCAGAGTCCTTTGGAGTTGGGCCACTACAACAAATTTGAATGAATAAATAAATAATGCTGGCATATTGCAAAATAAGATTCTGAATAAAATGGGCTGCTCTATTTCCAGTAATTTTGTTAAAGAGCAGTAGATTGCAGGCTGTAGAGCTGAATGTAGGCTTCTAATAAAATTAGGGTTAGGGTTAGTGATAAAAATAAAAATCACAGTGGCAATACACCGTATAAAAGAATGTTTTTAACATTCTAAATATGAAGACTGAATATAGACATTCATAGGTAGAAATCTATTATCAGTTTGGGGGACAGATATTTTTTAATTCATGTATAAATGACCTAGCATTAGGGATGAAACGTGAGGAGGCCAAGCTTGCTAACTGTTTCAGACCGTAAAATGAAAAAGTGATTACAAAAAGTTCCAATAAGCCATAAGGGGCAGTTTGGATATTTTTTCATATTTAGTGGCAATGTTATAAAAACGCACCAATTCTGGAAAAGGATTTATAATAGAATGAAACCAATGTCCCATTTCAACCTGTGATATTCCTATTAAATTTTACTAAAGCATCGATAACTTCAAAGTATACTGCATTAACTCTGTATATGCTATTTGCTGCAAGGAAATTATATGCTTTTTATTGGAAAATTACTTTGATCCCCTCCTTGAAGGGCTGACACCTCCATGGAAGAATGGCTAACCAAGTTGTGGTTATATGCTTTGATATCTATAATAGCTTTGTACCTTAAAAGTGGATGCAACTCAAACTGGAAACCATTCCTAGTTTACAACTTGATTCATGGATTGGTACTGCATCTCAAAGTTTGGGTTTTTCTGTGTAAAGGACCTGTATTTTAACTGCAAAAGTGTCAGGTTTAGCCCAAAGAACTCCAAGAGACAATACAAATCCAGTTCTACTGTGTTTATTAGCTACAACCTCTAGACAGAAAATCTCCCCAGGCTGAAACCTATCTCCCAAACCAGCCAGCCACAACACCGTGAATTCCTCAGGGAGGTGCCAGCCTCATCCTCT